AAAGATTAGTGATGCGACATCGATACGAAACATCGATGTTGGCCATCGATGTTAACATCGAAAGCCAACATCGATGGTATGAAAATATCGACTACAAAACATCGATATTTATCAAATATCGATGTTCGATGTTGGTAATTAAAAATATTGAAAAGGCGAACGTATATTTTAAAAATCAAAGAAAATGTGTGTATTAATAATAAACTGAATTGCGAAGAACAGGTTCAAAGCGTATAAACTAAAAGTAATAAAATATTTAAACTAATTTTGTACTTACTAAAATCGTAATATAAAATTTACTATATATAAATTTCATACCTTCATTTAACATACCAGATGCCCATCTATACCTATTAATAAGTCTTGAATGAAACAACTAAATAACACGCAAAACTGTAAAACACAAATAATTGTTTTAAGAACCGACCAACGTTGTTCATAAAAATTTTGAAATTGTACAACTGTCAATTATTTTCGTCAAAATTGTACACTTTTACGTTCGATTCTACAACCGCTAATTATTAATCATCTTTTTCATTGCCTACCACTTCCAAATGCATAAAGTGCTTTATTTCTTATAAAGAATAAAAGTCTAACCCATCCAGTTTCGACGTCTACGAATTTCGTTCGATGTTCTCGAAAAACATCGATGGTAACATCGATATCTGATACTATCAATATCGATGGCAAAAACATCGACCATCGAATACAAAACATCCATGTTTCCAAAACATCGATGAACATCGCCCATCACTATCAAAGATTTACTACATCTCAGATGCATCCGATGTGGATTCTCAAACGCGGCAATTGAATAACAAATATCAACTGCCCAATAGAGAGATACCCTCAAAACATCTTTGGTCCCTAACTATTCAAAATTTAAAAACAAATTAATGGAACTGTCAGAATCATTGATCTGGCAACTGCCTTATCAATGGTCAGAATGTAATTTTGTTAGCATTACAACCGATATGTGGACAAGTGCTTCTATTGAGGGAATATTAGCAGTGACATGTAGGGTTACCAATTTTGTTTTTTAATTTTTCTGGACGAGAGTAATAAAAATTCAGGACATACGGTATTAATTCTGGACATTTTTATTAGATATTACAAAAAAACACCAAACTTTAATAAACAATTCGACAAAAAATGAAGTGATAAAAAACAAGGATTCTTTAGGTAAATAGGAAATAGGAACTAATGATTAAACATTTTATTTACAAGTATTAGAAATTAAAAATTAAAAAAACCGACTTCAAAAACGTGCAGATGCCATCACCACATCTTACTAACAAAAAAAGAATTATATAAATCGAACAACCCAGACAGCACACCAAATCCCAGAGATATCCACAGAATATCTTTTGTGGATATCCAATATATCCACAGGATATCAGAAATATTCTGCGGATCTAATATGGATATCCAAATGTCCGTCTATATTCAGAATATAGAAGATATCCTAATGGATATTCAGCAAAATATCTAATAGGTATCTTCCAGAAAATACAAGAAATCCCAGAGATATCCACAGAATATATTTTGTGGATATTCAATACATCCAATATGGATTCCAACCAAATGTCCGTCTATATCCCAGGATATAGAAGATATTCGGATATTCAGCAAAATATTTTATGGGTATCTTTAGTAGAGGTTCATAAGTAACCAATGATTATTGAATAACGTCGAAAGAAAATAGGAGAGATAAAAAATATTTTCAACACTCAAAATATTTTCAACACTCTGCCTTTGATTTTGCCCACTAAGGAGAAAATTCTCGACTCCATAGTCTCTAATGGAATGATTAGGACACAAATTTCGATCGAACTCAATTACGGCGGGTCGAGCATGAGTAGATGCGATAGTGGTATCGCCATCTATACTTAGTAAGCAGAATCAAATAACATCTAGTGGATATCCACGATGGTTTGCGCTCGCGCCTAGACTTTGATATACATATTTAGTGGATGTCCATGGGATATTGAATACACCTTAAAAAAAATAATTTTAAATATCTGAACGGTACTATTAGCCACAATGGCGAGCACAATGGCGTATTTTTTTAATAATTTGCTATATAATTACTATTATTTATGGACATTTGCATGTCTATAAATTACATTTCATGGATATAAAATAGATATCTACCATGGACTGGACATTCAGTGGATATTGGGATGTTCAGTAGATATCTAAAGGATTTGGTGTGCTGTCTGGGAAGGTGGTAAAGCATTATCGCTAAACATACAAAAATATACAAAAATTTAAGAATTTGAGGATTTTCTCATGGACCCAATTATTAGATTTTGACCAAATTTATATGGGACCACCCCTGAAGTTCCCCCTTTCTAACAAAAAAAGAATCATTGAAATCGGACACCGTGTTAAAGAATTATTGCTGAACATACATAAAAAAAATATCGGGACGAATTGAGAACCTCCTCCTTTTTTGAAGTTGGTTAAAAAAGGACATAAAAAGTTACAATTGCTTAACTGCTTAAAATTGAAATATTTATATTTTTTTTGTTAGACAAAAGCGGGACACATGTTAAATCAGGACTAGTGGTTTAAAATCGGGACTATCCCGCCTAAATCGGGACAAATATTTTTGTTTATTCAGAAAAAAAAAAAGCCTATAGTATATCCCTCTATGCTTTATGGATGTAAGACGTTTGTCTTTAATGTGAACAAATAAAAAAAAGAGCTATTTAAATTATCCACCTTATTTTAGTAAAATGTCTAGTGTGTTCAGTTCTATAAGTAATTTATAAATTAAAATTTGCAAATTGTACAGTTTTGATCAGCATCCCTTGTATAACCTAACTCATGTACAAACATTAGGATGTTTTACCTCATTAAAAATAAAATAAAAAAATGTGACAGCATAAGACATCATAACAATAAAATTGTATTTTTTAATGGCCAATATAAACATAATTTTTATATTATTTGTTATTTTGCCATAATATATTTTCAATTAATACCTACCAACTGTTTGATTATTCTTTGTTATATCAGTTTCGGTCTAAAATAACAATTATGTTAAACCACGATATATTAAATGAAATTTCTAGACTTTATTATTTTATAAAATACTATCTTCCACTTGCACATTTTTTATTTCTTAAAACTTATTTTATCAATAAGTAGAATTCTCGGTGGAATTACTAAAAATTACTTTTTATGACCTTAATCATCCATTTTATGACAATTAATAAATATTGCTAACATTTTCTAAAAAAAATAAAAATATAGATTTGGGTTTCATTCGGAAAAGTCCGTATATGCCCAGACAACACACCAAATCCCAGAGATATCCACAGAATATCTTTTGTGGATATCCAATATATCCACAGGATATCAGAAATATTCCGTGGATCTAACATGGATATCCAAATGTCCGTCTATATCCAGAATATAGAAGATATCCTAATGGATATCCAGCAAAATATCTAATGGGTATCTTCCAGAAAATACAAGAAATCCCAGATATATCCACAGAATATATTTTGTGGATATTCAATATATCCAATATGGATATCCAACCAAATGTCCGTCTATATCCCAGGATATAGAAGATATTCGGATATTCAGCAACATATTTTATCATTAGTGGAGGTATATAAGTAACCAATGATTATTGAATAACGTCGAAAGAAAATAGCAGAGATAAAAAATATTTTCAACACTCAAAATATTTTCAACACTCTGCCTTTGATTTTGCCCACTAAGGAGAAAGTCATCCTTATTAGGACTCTTCAGCAATAAATGGAAATTCTCGACTCCAGTCTCTAATGAAGTCTGAATAAAACAAAAATTTCGATCGAACTCAATTACGGCGGGTCAAGCATGAGTAGATGCGAAAGTAGTATCGCCATCTATATTTAGTAAGCAAAATCAAATAACATTTAGTGGATATCCACGATGGTTTGCGTTCGCGCCTAGACTTTGATATATTTAGTGGATGTCCATGCGATATTGAATACATCTTAAAAAAATTAATTTTAAATATCTGAAGGGTACTATTAGCCACAATGGCGTAATTTTTTAATAATTTGCTATATAATTACTATTATTTATGGACATTTGCATGTCTATAAATTACATATCATGGATATAAAATAGATATCCACTATGGACTGGACATTCAGTGGATATTGGGATGTGCAGTAGATATCCAAAGGATTTGGTGTGCTGTCTGGATGGCAGATTGGCCATATTGGGTTGACAGTATCCACGCCAAGTGATACCGTTTTGAATGTTTGAAAAAGATACTTATAGCGTCACCCTACCTTATAACTCCATGATTGAACTATTATATTAAACAGGAAGAAGAAATCCGATCAACAAAATCAAGCCACATAGCGAGGTAATATTTGACACTGTGGCGCCCACACGTGCGTATCGAAATGCACTAAAAAAACATCAAAATTAAATTTAACACTTGCTACATTCAACTACAACACCTTTTAATTTAAGAAAATCACTTAAAAATGATTTTTGATTAATACGTAGCTGAAACAAATATTTCAACAATAATAATTATTAAAATAGCGCGTTATTAATAAAAAAATAATATAACTTATCGTTGTACGCCCGTGGGAAACGTGACGTAGAATGCTCGAAAGTGACTGTCTGGCGTCCAAATTGTCATGCGAACCGACCGATTTTTCAAGGTGTGTGCCAAAAGTAGATTATGGGCAATACACTGGTTGGATATATATGGTTCTAATATAATTAAAATTGAATTTCCTTACAGCTAAGTCGTTTAATCTTTAATCATATATAGGTACATTGGAAATACACAATAATTTGTCATATTTTGATGTTATCTCAATTGTAACTTATTAAAAAAAATCAACATTTTCGTACATTTTACACATAATTTTGTGTCTTCGTTTAATTTTTCGTAGGTTATTCCCATCTTCCTGAAAAGCAAATATATTAAATATATGGTAGGTAAATTTTATAGAATTTGATTATCTCGTTTTTAGGACCCCACCGTACTGTACAAAAATTAAACTAAAAACGATATCTCAAATACCATGTCAAACAACCGTACAATTAGAGGAACAGTCACAGTTTACCATACGAAATTCAAACGATTATATGATCCCTAATGAGGCGGAAGTCGAAATTGAATTATCGATTCAAGGAAAAAGAAGAGGAAATATTGAATCTGAGTTGTACATAGCCATAACAAATAATCCCTTTGTTTATAGGTAAAAAAACTTTTTTTTATATTAGGGTATTTAATGAGGGAGTTTATAATATTCAGTTCTTTAAGAAATTCCCCCAAAAGGGTTGTAGGTGTGTACACACGGAGTAGTAGGAGAAAATGAAAACTTTTGTATTTAAAGCGTGTGTAGGAGAAATTCTTTAAACAATTTCAGTATATTTAAAAAAATTTGTCAATCGCTTTCGCCGGTTAAGACTTCATCAGGACTCTAAAAAGAATTGTAGACAATGTAGATACGAAATAAGTAAGAGTTAAATTAAACTTACTCGTCAAAAAACCGTAAGACAAGAGGAAAAGGACATCAAGTACATTAAACATTAATTACGAACTCTGGCCAACGTAAGTAGAAAACCTACTCAAACAGACCATCTTATAAATTTTAACTCCAATCATTCTTATCAACATAAACTAGCTGAAAGCTATTATGTACATCGTTTGATGTTTCTCTTTCTGATCTCAATTTCAACAAGAAAATTAATGTGCTGAAACAATTATGGCTCGGGTCGGTGATGTAGTGGTCTGACGCGCTTATATTCATTTATAGGCAAGTTCCTGGTGGAAGATAGACGGGCTTCGAATCCTACGCCAGACCATGTGGATTTTTAATTAAATTGCATGGTTCGGTATAGGATTTGATGTGTGCCCTATTAATATAAATTCAATTTCTGTTGATATGGCATGCAGATTATAAAATCGCCATGCATTACCGCCTCGATGATGGTGAGTGAGGTTTTCCTCTCCTGTAAGTCAAATGGCACCATTAATCATCTTTAAGTCGCCACGGAACGCCATGGCAAATAATCAGCTTGTGGGGTTAACATTCACTCGTAAGGGGGTGAATTAGGGAGAGTATTATTATTATTAATTAGTCATCAATAATAACTTGAAGCCCGCTATCATTTACTCAGTTATTTACAAAGTCAATCTCAAAAGAAGATCTCAACTAGCTTTTAGTGGTTTTAGTTTAACTTCTACTGTCAAATATTTTCCTTCACCCTTTTTAGGGAAAATTTCTAATGATATTGCCAATGTGTTTAAAAATTACAAAATCTTAATAAAATATTAATTCAAACAAAAATTTCCTTTCTCACACTAAGGAAGAGATAGATTTGCTTGACAAAAGTGGCATTTATAGACTCTGTTGTAACGATTGCAATACCTCTTATATTAAGAGATAATTGTCACTGAACTATTTAGTGGCGAAAGTTATTCACGTCGGATTCTTTGCAACAATCCTACTGACTGCGCCAAATTTAATTTTATTTGAATAAGGGCCAATCTTTTTACCTTTGAGTAAAATTGAAAGTAACTACTTGCTAATTAAACTATAGAGCTATTGTTTGTTAATCTGTCAAGTAAACCTACATGTAACTTTATTCAGCGGTGACAAGATCAGCCCTAATTGTCATTATTTAATATTTTTTTATTTAAAATAGAAATAATAATTTTTAATTACTTTAATATGCAGACTAATGTTTTACTAATAAGATTAAATTTAAGCCAGCGGTTGATGGAATTCTAGGAACTTCTAGACAAGTCCGTAGTTTCTATGAAATAATTCTTAGTAAGAACTAAGAGCAAATATTAGATAATAATGTCATGGGAACGCCTAAGGCGTCCCTATAGAACGCGACCTTCAGCCCTGCCACTCGACTCATGGTTGAAACACTGCTGACGTATAGAGACAAACGTTCCGCTTCTCGAGAAAATACCAGAACAAGCAATACGTGGTCGTCGAGTCATAGAGATGGAATTTTCGGATGACATTCGAGAGCGTCTAGAAAGCCCAGAGTATTCAGGTTAAAAAGTTGGCTTGATATAAATATCGCGAGTTTGAAGACGGAAGATAAGTTTAGAATAAAGTATTGGACTGAAAAGATAAATTGTAATAAATAAATTAGAATTATGAGTTAGTGCCTAAGTATTATATAAATTAATTAATATGTCATAAATAAATTGTAAATAGTGTGTTTTAAAATAAATAAACTTTAAATAAATTAAACTATCGTTACAATAAATTTTAAAATAACGCGTGATAAAATAATAATGTTTTTAAAGTAGACCGTGGCCGACAAAGTCAGAAATACGATGTTATAATTACACCCGTTTCTGAATAAAATACAAACTGTCGTTTCAAAACCAAAGAGCAATAAATTATAAGATCCAACATACACGATTTGTTTCAATAGCCTACTTCAGAAATATATTTTTCAAGCTCCATATTATAAACATTAAAAACCAGCTACAAACATGGTTAATATGACTTTTTAGGTTGAGGTTGACAGCGGAAGTGGTGCCTTTAGATTTCAGCTTTTCTCCGCATTTTTTGAATTTTGACAAAATTCCCCTGGATTATTTATCGAGACAATACATAAAATTGACAAATTCGACTTCCGTTAATTTAAAATGGAGGTTTATAAGATACGATTGGGCAACTAGAATTTACAAAATTAGTAAATTGCGAGGAGAAATTAAATTATACTCAGTTGATAGGGTAGAATTTGAATTTAAACCCACAAGAGAAGAAATTTATCCATCGAGAACAATTGACATTCAGGTAAGGTCAAATTATATAGTATATATATTACATTACGAGAGTGGAAAGTAATATTTTACACACGAATCTGAAATATTTTGACAAAAGTGATGTACATTTTTCTTATGACCTTAAAATAATTTCATCAAAAAAATAATAAACCAGAAAATAGGGCTATGGAAGTTTAGCAAGATGTGGCTGGTTTTAGATTTCTGTTTTAAATACCTTTAGAATAATTTTTAAAGTGTTTTACGGATGGTATTTTGTTGGTTATGCGCAAATTTTAAAAGACATATATATATATCAACTTATTCTGCTCTTTTGAAATATGTTATTATTATATTCTAAATTTGGTTAGGTATACAGGGTGTTGTTTTTAAAACGGGCAGAAATGGTTAAATATTGTTAAGCCGAATCTAGATTTTAATTATTATTTCTATATTATTATTTGTGCTATATCGAGATGATTCTACCTGCTAAATTTGAAATGTTTAGTTTAGTTAATGTACGTCATTTTACTCTGAAATGTTATATACAGTATGTCCCCCTAAGTTGGAATCATATGGAAAAAATTGTTATTCTAAATTTTAGGAAAAAAAGTTATTTTTCATAAAAAGTTCTGCATGATCCAGAACCTAAAATATAGTCGTCAGATATCAAAATTTTCAAGCCGTATACGAGGTTTGCCAAAAAATATGAATTTTGCTCAAGTAAAGTACGTTCATTTTTGACAAAATCGAAAATTTTCATTAAGAAAATTGCTAAATTCTTCACAAACATCAAGAAAAGGAAAGCGTATCATGTTAACGTAATTTATAACGTTTTCAGATATTTACATTCAATGTGTAGAAAAGTTTATAAAAAATAAGAAAATCTCTTTTTTCAGATAGATTAATGTAATTGCATATTTGAATATAATTTTCAATTCTAATCAACGTTTCTTAATGAAAATATTCGATTTTTCCAAAAATAAACGTACTTTACTCTTGAGCAAAATTCATATTTTTTGACAAACCTCATATACCACTGAAAAAAATTTGATATTTGATGACTGTATTCTAGGTTTTAGATAATGCAGAACTTTTTATGAAGAATAACTTTCTTTTCTAAAATTAATAATAAAAAAGTTTTGCATATGATTCCAACTTAGGGGGACATACTGTCTATATATAACATACCTACTTTCTAATTTGGGTAGAAAAAAGTTTATTTTTCGTTTCTTATATACTTGTTTTTTTTTATTTACTACACTGCAAATTATAATTATTTCCCCTTTATTAAAATCTACTGTTCAGATCTACGGTTTTTTTTTTATCCATACTGTTTCAAAATCTGGCAACGCTGCCTAGATCGAAAGAATCTAATCACCCCCAAAAAGAAGCGGTGCCGAGGACAGTGACCCCGAGTGCGACATGCAGCAAAGCTTTGCCCCGAGAAGTGTCGACAGGAAGTGTCTCGCCGTGCGAAATGTGTTTCATATAATTGTATGTATTTTAGATGTGAAGCGACACTTCTTGGTCGCGTCGGCGGTCGTATGTCGCGTCGGCGGTCGTCTGTCGCACCTACCGAAATGGTACCTTAATACTGTAAAGTTCATTGAACTGCTCGTCCAGCTGATGTCGAAACCAAACTCCCACTCATACTGTCTTTCTCACCCCTTGAAGCTGTATCGTCACAATCGGCGTGCATTCTCTGCCGTGTTGCCACGTCTTAGAGTTTTAATTATAAATCGAACACGTTGATATTCTAAAAAGTAAAACTGTCGCGTAAATTTTTGGTTTAAATAGAGAGACTAGACTGAAAAAAAAAAGACTCTAGTAAGGACTGCGTTCCGAAAATCTTGCCGTTTCCAACCCTAAAGGACTAATGTCGATTTTCATCACTGGTCGTTAAGGAATAAGCAAAGTTTATAATGACATTTTTCCATCAACAATGTCATTTTAAGCTTTGCTTATTTCTTAATTACTAGCAGTGCAAATTACCCTAAGACAAGTTTATAACTAATTTTCCAAGCCGCTCGATTATGATATTAAGGGATAATTTTGTATTTTTTATTTTATTTTGTATTATTTTTATGCTACTGGTGAATGAACCCTTTGGCTGGTGACAACGCTGCCTCAATCCATTAATAGTATATTGACAACACTAGCTAAAGACCTATCAGTTCTTACAAATGGGTCTTTAGGCTAGTTGGTTGTTTTACTATATTAAAATAAATATTTCTAGATATTTAAATTCTGTATTTTTTTTAGATTTTTGATCCACTCTGTTCTGAAGAAATTCCATTATTGGTTGATTCTATTACTTTGCAGTCAGAAGCAGTCGAAATTCTTGTAAATTGTGTAGATTTAATTGATCTTGGTGATATAAAGGGTAAAAGGGAATATAAATTTCCTCTTAAAATCAACAATAATGGAAAAACTAGTGTTCAACTGATGTAAGTATAACATTAGTTTAATATTTATTTTATCTTCAGTTTTTATTTACATTCGCTAGGACATCTGATTTTCCTAAAACCCTGCTATAAGACTTCTTCTCCATTTTAGGATAGTTTGCTCTGTTTGTTATAAGTACTGGCGCGTGGAACTTGTGAAGCAGTTTGTATTCCCAAGATAATATCGACAATTAGGTGAATAGCGCACGAGATGTGAACAGCGGCGGATGGCGGTCGTGCAAATATTAAATTATATAGGGATATATGCAGACATCGCACTGGCATCCGCACGGTTATGCAGATGCCAGTGTATGTATTCGCGCGACCGCCATCCGCTGTAGTTCGCGGCTCATGCGTTATTCACCTTAAGAAAATCGAAATCACGTGACTTTAAATATAGTGCACCTTTGGCAAAAACAACAAAAGGGAGATCAGTCGAAGATGACGCGGCTGATAAGATGACGCAAGTCCGGTCACGGGAACATTAGAAATGATCATTTTTGAATTTCCCTCCTTTTATTGCACGTATTATTCGGGGCAGTGTTTAAACGGTTAATTCTGGAGTCAGTTTGCATTCTGTAGTCGTGTGATTCGGTTAAGGTGTTTTTATATAATATTGGAGTGCTCTCTTCATAAAGGTAAGATGGTTATTTTATCAGATATTCACATTTATTCTATACCAACGTGATTTACGCATAAATAGGAACATTTTGGTATATACATTATTTAATTATTTCTACTGGGTATATTTTTTAAATTGGTTTCTTTTTCATTGTTGCCAGTCAGCGAAGATGACGCAAGCCGAACCGGATAAGATGCCGCGCGTTATCTTACCCGACGCTGGGATAAGATAAACAAATATATCTAATTAAACCTCGGCAGTTTACAATCTTCCTTGATATCTCTTATATAAAAAATCAACTTGTGTTTTACAAAGATCTTTATTTTACAGATGGGCAAGTATATTAGGAAAACAAATAGAGGATGTAGTAAAGAACAAATTGATGTAGACATTAATTAAATTATTCGAGAAAACATTAAAATTCGAGAAGCAGGGAGACGTTTTGGAATTCCAGAAGCTTCCCTCAGGCGGCACCTAAAATTAAAAAAAAAATAACGGAGCAAAAATCGTTATCACTAGGCAGACCTCCAGTTTTTAATTCTAATCAAGAACGTCAGATACGAGATCACTTGCTGCACTTAGCTAAATTATTCTTTGGTTTAACCAAAGACGAATTATGTAGATTAGCCTTTACGTGTGCTGAAGCAAATCACATCATACATCCTTTTAATACAGAGATAGAGAACGCTGGTGATGATTGGTACAAAAACTTTCAATCGAGGAATCCAGAAGTTGCTTTACGGAAACCGGAATCCACTAGTTTCAATAGGATAACCGCATTTAATAAAATAGAGGTGGACCAATTTTACAAAAATTTAAAATCAGTCAGTGATGAATACAATTTCCCTGCCGATAGAATGTACAATGTCCACGAGACAGGCATTTCCATAGTGTCAAAAGAAACTGCAAAACGGTTAGGTCCAAAAGGAATTAAACAATTTGGAGTCATAGCATCAGCAGAAAGAGGTAAAAACGTGACGGTTATTTGCTGCATGAGTGCTACTGGGTCATTTATTCCACCGCTCTTTGTATACCCCAGAAAAAGGATGACTCCCCAACTGCTACGAAATGGTCCAATATGTGCAGCATACCTGTGTTCCCAAAATGGTTGGAGCAACGAAGAAATCTTTTTTAAATGGATTCAACATTTTCAACAAAAAGTTGCATCCACACAACAAAATCTGGTATGTCTGGTTTTAGACAACCACAGCAGCCATATTTCCCTTGAAATTTATGAATTCTGTAGGAAACATTTTATCATTATGGTTAGTTTGCCTCCACATTCTTCCCATAAGATGCAACCCCTCGACATCACTTTCTTTGGACCACTTAAAAATGCTTTCGCAAAGCAGTCCCAACTTTTTATTAGATCCAAAATTAATTCAGAGTCTCAAGAATACAAATTATCTCACTACGATCTTATTGTTGTTGAAGTCGACGAAAATAAAGAGAACAATTTAATTGAACCAGAAATATCATTACCACAACCCTCGACATCTGGAATACAAAATAGTAAGATACCTACTATCCCAATAGTATTTTCAACACTATCACCAGTACCAACAGCATCAAAAAAGAAAATTATAAAGGCTGTTAGAAATAAGCAACATTCGGAAATACTTCTACCTTTATTAAAGTCTTGAGGAGAAGGAGGAAAAAAAGAAAAAGAAAGCTCTTGCTAACAATAATCAAATTAATAAGATTAAAAAGAACCTTATTAATGAAGATGACATTAATGAAATAAATAACGGGAAAGAGAAATATATTCCAATGAAAAATAAAAATAAGCAGAAAAAGAAAATAGCAGAATTTGATACCGACAGCGAAACAGATGATATGGATGAAGATAATATTTGTGATGATGATGAAATGGATGATTTGCCTGGAAGTTCTGATAATGAACGATGCATAATCTGAAACGAATTTGGAAAATCTGAAGTGTGGTACCGTTGTACGCTGTGTGCAAACTGGGTTCATAAAGACTGTAGTGGAGTTAACACTCCCAAGAATTTTAAATGCGATTTTTGTTTGTAAAAATTTATTTTTGAGTTTAAAACTAACATTTTCCTATTTTTTTTTCTTTTTTTTTTTAGTTTAAAAATTTATATTTTTCTAATTTTTTCTTTAAAAATAAAGTTATCACCATCCATGATATTATGTATTTCGAAATCGTTCACATGCGCCATCTTAGCTACTCATATGCGTCATCTTTGACAAACATGCAGCTAAAATTACGCACTAACAGATTTTTTTATAAATTTAATTTCGACAGTATTTTTTAAATGTTGAAAAGTCTCGACTAAAAATTCAATAGTATATACCTATTAATATATTGTGTGTTAATTCCGTCTTTGGATTGTAGTCTGAATTCAAAATATTAAATATTTTTGTTAGCCGCGTCATTTTCGACTGATTTCCCCTACGTGCTTCTATTGACAAAACAGATTTTTAGTCGAAAGTTTTGTTATATTGTTTTTGGAGTTTGGAGTTTTTTCGGTGTATTTAGTATTTATTAATAATATAATAAATACTAATTGTATGATTTAATATAATAGTCAGATACTAATAAGAAAGTCAGGTTAACAAACTTTCTTGTTTTTGCCAAGCCTCGGCCATTTTTGTCCATTCTAACAGGATATTGGATTGCCCAATTTTGCTATTTCCAACTTCCTATATATAAATTAACGCAACTTTCACTTACAGTCAGAGCTCGTATATTACAAATAAGTCAACATCATATATCTCATAATAGACAAAACCTCCTATCAAACATGTTTATAGGAGCTTTTCGTCTTAAAATTGAACGACGAATTGCCCACAAAAATATTTCCGATTACTTTGGAAACACCCTGTATATATGTATATGGATATAATAATGTAGCAAGTATAATTTAGGGAAACCACGAAAATCAAAATCACGATACTGTACAATACTGTCACAAAAGTCGTTGAGATGGGTGGTTTATCTATATACAATGTTCCCCCTTTTTATAGGGACACTATTGCTATATTTTAAATGGTAAAAGATAGCAAGTTACCCATTTTTGTGCTATTTTAAGGGCTGCCAAGAAACCCAAGCAACAGGGAGAATCGAAATATTGGACAAAAACTGAAAGTTGTCATTTTCTAAATTCATTATAAGGGTTTCAGGAACAATTGACTTAATATCAGAGATAACAGGAGATGTACTACTAACAAATATCGTGCGGTCCTGAATAAAACATATTCTAAGGGACACAGGAGGATATAATATCCGCTGTTGTCATGTGCCTATTTTATTATTCTCGTTTTGTTTAAAGCTAAAATAAATCAACCTATTTTATTGCAACTGAACCCAAAAAAATTTGAATCATTAGTGATATCAAATTTAACTAAATTAGATGTAATTTCACTAAATTAAATGTAATAATTTTCAATTAATTCCAAAACCTAGTGATCGTAAGTTGGAAGTGGTAACATGGCTTACACTGTTACGTTGTTTATTATAAGCGCACATCGCTTACATATTTATTCATTGATAAAATAAAGTTGTATCTGCGTAAAATTCTTATCTCTAACCCCTCTCTTACTTCTCACATTTCGTCTCTTCACCGTGGACCAACAAATAGAGTGTTATGATTGTCGACTTAATCTTGGCTAGAATTAGAATTCTTTGTTGGCCAGAATTATGAACTAGATACCGAAAGTAGAGCAGTATAAACGGCATAAAAGAGATAGTTTGGGTGTGAAATGTCATGGGTAAACAGGGTGTTTCCGAACTTGGCGTCCAAATTTGTAGGAGTGGTAGTTCTCATAATTTGAGAGCGATTGGCAGATTTCATTTTTCTAAAAAAATTATAATAAACAAAATAGAGCCATTTTAAAAAAATCAAAAAGCGGGTCCTACCCTGAGCGCGTAGCGCAATAGGTTACTCATCGGGATTTACAACTCAAAAACAGATGCGATTTGCAAATTTCTCCCTCCGCCAGACCAGTATCGAAAGACGTAGCCGATTGTTTAAAATTTTTAATATTTTTATTTTAAATATTTTGGAAAAATGAAATCTGCGAATCGGTCTCAAATCATGCAAACTACCACCCCTACAAATTTGGACGCCAAGTTCGGAAACACCCTGTATATGAGGTATAAGAGGTGGATTAGGACGAAATCCTGTGGTACTTCAGCAAGTGGGTGAAAGGGTCTGACGGTAGTTTTGTCAGTAAAGTATGAGTGTATGAATTTGGAGATGTTAAAGGGAAGACCTACGTTAATAAACTTTTTGACAAGTTCAGTATGCCATACTTGTTCAAAATATTTTTGAACATAAGAAGAACGGATGAGAAGATTTGGAGAAAGTTTACTGCTATGGCGAATGTTATATGAATAAGTGAGGAGATTACG